TTAATATTTTGTCAACCATTTTGTTTTGTGAAGACTGATTACAAAGATTTTGATTAGATTGAGATTAGAAAAAGATGGCCATGTCAAACAAAACCACTATCCTATTTTGTGTTGTTTTCCAACAAATTACTGCTTCATTATGTATATTTCAATATATTAGCATTTTTTTCCTAATGTTTATCTTTAAAAAAATTAAATTAATAATACCAAGATAAACACACTTGTGTTCCATTATGAATACATATTTACAAGTATAGTGTCATTATCTTTTTTACTATATTTAAAGTAAAAAAGCTGAAATATATTCCATCTGTCTTAAAGAAATCTTAGAAGTAAAACACAAACAAAATTATTAAGAAAATTATATACATAATTTATTTTTTAAATAAATATATTAAACAAACCTCTTAAATATAAAAATGTCCACTTTGTATTAAAACTTTGTTTCACAATAGTATGAATTTCAAAGGATTTTTTATACATTCAATAAATGAAAAAAGTATGATAGATAAAGTATATTCACATTAATAAATAACTCATTAATTATGATTTCATCAAATAACAAGAAAATTTATCGTAAACAATGTTAAGTACAATAAACATAGTTAGGAATACCAAAAAATTTATAAAGATATATATAAATTTTTGGACGTTCTAATTATATAAATGGTTTAATCATTCACGAAGTACCTATTTTCGTGTGGAATCTCAATTTAGTCCCTTTGTTTCTGCAAATCTCAATTGAGTCCCAAATTTATGAAAATTGCAACGATTGGATCATTTCCGTTAAATTGTCTCCAACGTCGTTAGTGTGTGTTTGACGTGGCACGCTGTAGTCAGTTTCTTAACTGATGTGGCTGACTGAAGCAGGGGCAGTGAAGCACGTTGATAATAACAATTTTTTAAGTAAAAAGAAAATGAATGTTTTAAACCAAAATGGGGATTCAGATTTTGAATTGATCGAATTAGGGATTGGGATTCTTCTGAGTACTTCTAGGGTTTGTCCAAAGTTCATTCCATTTCACAAATTGGGGTATCAATTTGGGTATTTAGGGTTTAATCGAAGTTGCTGAACAGTGCTTGCATGTATTAGAAAATACAGAAACTTCAAGGAACGAGTGAATTTAACTTACCAACTCCAAACAACAACTTGTCTGGTGAAAAGAGAAACTCTTGCCACCAAGAAACTCAGGCACAGTTTAAATTGATAATCAGAAGAAAAAGAAGATGAGAATTTGTAGAGAGAAGGAGGAGAATTTTAGAGAGAAGGAGGAGAAAATAAAACTCAGAATTTTGGAGAGAAAAGTGCATGCAGAAAATAGTCCGAAATTTTGAAAAGTTTACTTATATACTACTGTAAAAAATCGATCAGTCCAACCAGTTGTATACACCTAGATTCCACTTTTCTCTCTAAATTTAATGGTCTGACAATTACAAACCTGAAACATATAAATTTTATAAGCTTTGATTATCCGACCACTGAAACTTATACTTATGAGTTTAAATAAAATAATTAAAAACGTAACAATTTTAAAATTTTTGTAAATTTATAAACTTTGATTCTTTAATAATCGAAATTTATAAATTTAGAATAATTTCATAATTATCATCGTATTTTTTTATATGTTTTATTTCCTTTAAAACCATGAGAAAATTTTAATAGCCACAAGTGCACATTATATACTTATAATTCATTTTGACCATAAATCATCACTTTAATATCTTTTGGGTATAAATCATCACATCAACTTAATCATTTTCTAGCATATCATTACATCTTATAGTCCACCTCAATGCATCACCTTGGTACATTTTACACCGGCTGAAATTGACAAAATTATATTAAATCTTATTTGAAAAGCTAAAAAAAAATAAATGAAGATACAATTTATTATTTAAGAACACAATTTCAGATTTTCAGTTTGATTATCAATGTTTTATTTTACATTATATAATATTATTTTTGGGTTTTTTTTTACTATAAATAAGATTTTTTTTTTCTGCTTCTGTTATTGTAATAAAAAATATATTATATTTGAGACTAAAAAAGAAGATAAAACAGGTCATAAATTTAAACCGAAAAAAATGGCAACAAATAATTTCAAACACAATCAATATGATAAACAAAACATTCTTGAAATTGACACAAGACCACGCACCCTCAATGTTTTAAGTTGACATCTACATCTAGTGTCATTATTAACTAATTTCTGGCTTTGCATTCAAACTTTGTTCCTTCTAGAATCACTTATCAATCCATATATATAAAATATTGGCAAAAATATCATAACTTGTTTTCACCGAACAAAAGACTAATTCCATACCCTTCTCCCCAAGAAATTATCACCTTCTCTTATAAATTTTGTACAAGTCTTAGCTCACTTCCTACGCCACTTTAGTCTATCTTTTCCCATAAATTCATATTATATAAATCCTTATGAAAGACCAAACTAAAAATTGTTCATTTCTTCCCCTCAGTCAAAATCATTAATGTCCCTGTAGAAGCTTCTTCGACTAAGATCATTGTAAAAGTTTGAAGCTTTTGTTTTATCTATGAGTTGACTCTGACACATGCTTTTGTTCAGTCATCTCATCTCTATCTTTCTGTTTAAACCCATTATCTAAGCAACTTCACACAACTCATCAAACCAAACCTCGTTTTCTCCTAACACCATATTTTCATGCATACGCTGAGCCCTTTTGTTTGTGGCACTTTCCATAACGAATACGATGATGATGACACGTGTCTTGTTGCAAGTCCTCTTTCTAGCCCCAGAAAATATAAGAGAAAAGATAGAAAAAGCAACCCATATTCGAGCCGTGGTCTGGACAAGTTTTCTGAGCTTTTGGCTGATCTTGATGAGAAGAGGCAGAAGATTTATTCACAGACGAACCCTCATGACATCTCTTTCGTTCGCTTTGTGTACTCCAACACTGACGATATCGTTCCCGTTGTGGTCAAGGTGAAGAAAAACAACAAGGATCATAAACACCAGAGCCAAGAACTCAAAGGGGTGATGAGATCAAGAACAACGTTGACTCACACCTCCGAGTCAATGGTAACTGATACCGAAGAAAGAAACCAACCCAAGAGAGAGAAAAATCATGGGAAGGTAGCTGAGAAGAAGTTTTCTTGGGATATGGGGAAGCCTTCTTTCTATTTGCCAGTGGTTATGGTGTTGATTCTGTTGCTCTTGGTTGTGTTTGGAAGATCTGCTTCGACTGTTTATACGTGTGTTTTGTGGTATGTGATCTCCACTGTGAGGAGCAGTTCACCATCAAACACAAAGATGTCAACGAAGAAGAAGGGAGAATTGAGCGAAAAGAAGATTGTGATGAACAATGAAAGGGTGAAGAAAAAGGAGTATGTGAGAGGGTGGAGTGAGAAGAAGATGGTGGTGAATGAAGGGATTAAGAAGAAAGATTACGTGAGATGGTGGAGTGAAAAAAAGATGGTGACTGGTTGCTTACTTTCTCCAGAAGGTGGTGCTGATTCTGAGGCTTTCAAGAACAAGGTTCAAGAACAGATTCACATAAGCAAAGCTGGTGAAGAATGAAGATTATTATCTGTTCATTTTTAGTGTTTTGTTTTCCATTGTTGAACTGGGAATAGAGTTTCTTTTGTTAGTGTGAATACATGTTGCCAGGTTTTCGTTGGAAACTTGTTGAAAATTCAATTCTTCTGGTTACACATGTTGTGAGTAGAAATTATGAATTAAGGTTGTTGACAATCAACCCATGTGTGTTTGCTGCACATGGTATTTCGTTCTTTGAATTGGAATATGATGAGAAATGGTCAAAATTGCAGAGATTTATTCTGTACATTTTGGACAGCATAGACATTCAAACGAAAATAATCTAATTAGATAAATTTTTCCCAAAAAAAAATTCAAAGAGAAAAGCAGATAAAATTTTGACTTAATATAATTTTAACTTATATAGAGTGAATGAATTTAAAATAAAAATTATATTTAGAAATACAACTTTTTTTTACGGAATTTCTAGAAAATACATTAGCGAAATTTAACTCTTAGCCTAAATCTTTTAAAACAATATGTGTTTGTAAATATTTTTTATATGTTGTTCAACACATTTTTCTTATCAGTGACCAACACATTTTTCTATTAGTTACTACATTTATTGAGAGACATTTATTTTCATTTGATTAGGCCATCTACACAATCATTCACTCTGATAATTTTGGATTAAAAAAAAATGTGTTTCAAAATTTGTTTTTGAATGCACTTACTTTTATGAAATTATGTTTCAAAAGTGAACTATTTTTTGCAAATTTTGTGTTTAATATGAAAAGTTGAGTGAGTTAGAAACCAAACTCCCTCCCAACAAACCTAGTTTTGTATTAACTGCGTGAAATCTAATTTTTCAACAATGCGTCTTTGTCTCACCAGCACACAACCGGTTGTTGTTCTTGAGTGGATATATTTTTTCAATATCTCACTTTTAAGTAATACGAAAAATAAAATTACTCTAGAAATGAGAAATTAATTCAAAACTAAATAATTTTATAGATGCATATTGAGATACGGACAATTACGAATTAACAATTTTTTCCTTGTAAAATCCAAAATGAGCATAATTGTCCATTAGTGTGAAGTTGAATTTCACTTGGGAAAATTATTTTCATAGAGAAAATTTGAGATGCAAAGTTCTCCTCTTGAACATTGTTTAGCGAATTTGTATCCATTGAATAGAATTCTTAAAAAAATAATTTATTTATAAGATTATTGTTAAAAAGTAAATTTAAATCTAACTCAATCCTTACTATTTGTAAGATATGATTTACAATCATTTATATATTATAAATTGATTTTATTTTTAGTTGGTGTGAGATTTCTAACTATTATACTTAAGAAAAAGATAGTATTGTGATAGTTGTGTGTTGTAAATTATTATACATGTATTAGTTTCAAATATTAAATAAAAATTCTCATCAGTCTTTTAGTTTTTTTATTTAATTAATACTTTTGATATCTTTTATAGATTAGGAATGTGTCCGATTATTTATATAGTATTGTTAGGTATCTTGTTATGGAATATTGGGGTTACATTTAATCTCGTTAAATCGTCATCCTTACCTAACATTCTTGAATCTGAAAACAACCTGCATTTGTTGTTACACTTAATCCACGTCCTTGTCCTCACCTTAACCCTCTGTTTGGATTTGGAATTGAAACTCAGAAAACTAACTCTTGATTTCTAACAGAATAATAATTTAATATAAATTTATGATTAAAATTAACTTAAAAACTCATTTTCTGGAAATCAGTTTCATTAATCTTGAAAGTAGCGAAACCTTACTAATCAGAAAAGACCTCTTTTGGTCTACCATGAATCCATGTTGATGTAGTATTGCTTCGTGTAAACTCATTAAATAAGTGGATGACCTTTATAATTTCTGGAAGAAAAAAACTCCCAGTTTCCACTACACCAACCGTAAGTAGCAGTGTTTTAATGACTCAGTATAATTTAGAACAAAGAATTCTAAAGTCACACCAAAGATAAGCTTGAATTTGACCCAAGTCAGAGCCCCCAAAAATAAGTTGTCTTGAGTCGGTCCAAAATTAAAGTGCTGTGAATTTGTACCTAAAAATAAAAAAGCCTTTCAGTCCTCATTCCTGCATTAAGTAACGGGGTTTGTAGTCAATATTTGCAGACTTTACAAAAGCCAAGATTTGGAACAATAAGAGAGCCACCTGAGATATCAAAATCTAACCTTAAATCTCCTTGCTCGCACATTTTCTGGCTTTGTGGACACCGTGCTATTCTTCTTCTCTCGACTTTCATTCCTAGAATTCCGGAAAAATTCGACTTTGTCCCAACTAACCTCGTAATCAGCCTTCAATCGTGATCCTTCCTGATCATTCACAGCAACTCACAAATCATAACCAAAACATCACTTATCAGGTTTTAACATGTTAAACCTCTCAATTTCTGTCATCACTGCTGACAAACAATTTAATCCTATTTCCTTTGATCATAGAATCATCTTACATATATATGTAANGGATATGGGGAAGCCTTCTTTCTATTTGCCAGTGGTTATGGTGTTGATTCTGTTGCTCTTGGTTGTGTTTGGAAGATCTGCTTCGACTGTTTATACGTGTGTTTTGTGGTATGTGATCTCCACTGTGAGGAGCAGTTCACCATCAAACACAAAGATGTCAACGAAGAAGAAGGGAGAATTGAGCGAAAAGAAGATTGTGATGAACAATGAAAGGGTGAAGAAAAAGGAGTATGTGAGAGGGTGGAGTGAGAAGAAGATGGTGGTGAATGAAGGGATTAAGAAGAAAGATTACGTGAGATGGTGGAGTGAAAAAAAGATGGTGACTGGTTGCTTACTTTCTCCAGAAGGTGGTGCTGATTCTGAGGCTTTCAAGAACAAGGTTCAAGCACAGATTCACATAAGCAAAGCTGGTGAAGAATGAAGATTATTATCTGTTCATTTTTCGTGTTTTGTTTTCCATTGTTGAACTGGGAATAGAGTTTCTTTTGTTAGTGTGAATACATGTTGCCAGGTTTTCGTTGGAAACTTGTTGAAAATTCAATTCTTCTGGTTACACATGTTGTGAGTGTAAATTATGGTAGAAATTATGAATTAAGGTTGTTGACAATCAACCCATGTGTGTTTGCTGCACATGGTATTTCGTTCTTTGAATTGGAATATGATGAGAAATGGTCAAAATTGCAGAGATTTATTCTGTACATTTTGGACAGCATAGACATTCAAACGAAAATAATCTAATTAGATAAATTTTTCCCAAAAAAAAATTCAAAGAGAAAAGCAGATAAAATTTTGACTTAATATAATTTTAACTTATATAGAGTGAATGAATTTAAAATAAAAATTATATTTAGAAATACAACTTTTTTTTACGGAATTTCTAGAAAATACATTAGCGAAATTTAACTCTTAGCCTAAATCTTTTAAAACAATATATGTGTTTGTAAATATTTTTTATACGTTGTTCAACACATTTTTCTTATCAGTGACCAACACATTTTTCTATTAGTTACTACATTTATTGAGAGACATTTATTTTCATTTGATTAGGCCATCTACACAATCATTCACTCTGATAATTTTGGATTAAAAAAAAATGTGTTTCAAAATTTGTTTTTGAATGCACTTACTTTTATGAAATTATGTTTCAAAAGTGAACTATTTTTTGCAAATTTTGTGTTTAATATGAAAAGTTTTGAGTGAGTTAGAAACCTAACTCCCTCCCAACAAACCTAGTTTTGTATTAACTGCATGAAATCTAATTTTTCAACAATGCGTCTTTGTCTCACCAGCACACCTGGTTGTTGTTCTTGAGTGGATATATTTTTTCAATATCTCACTTTTAAGTAATACGAAAAATAAAATTACTCTAGAAATGAGAAATTAATTCAAAACTAAATAATTTTATAGATGCATATTGAGATACGGGCAATTACGAATTAACAATTTTTTCCTTGTAAAATCCAAAATGAGCATAATTGTCCATTAGTGTGATGTTGAATTTCACTTGGGAAAATTATTTTCATAGAGAAATTTTGAGATGCAAAGTTCTCCTTTTGAACTTTGTTCAGCGAATTTGTAAGATAAGATTTACAATACATATATTATAAATTGATTTTATTTTTAGTTGGTGTGAGATTTCTAACTATTATACTTAAGAAAAAGATAGTATTGTGATAGTTGTGTGTTGTAAATTATTATACATGTATTAGTTTCAAATATTAAATAAAAATTCTCATCAGTCTTTTAGTTTTTTTATTTAATTAATACTTTTGATATCTTTTATAGATTAGGAATGTGTCCGATTATTTATATAGTATTGTTAGGTATCTTGTTATGGAATATTGGGGTTACATTTAATCTCGTTAAATCGTCATCCTTACCTAACATTCTTGAATCTGAAAACAACCTGCATTTGTTGTTACACTTAATCCACGTCCTTGTCCTCACCTTAACCCTCTGTTTGGAATTGGAATTGAAACTCAGAAAACTAACTCTTGATTTCTAACAGAATAATAATTTAATATAAATTTATGATTAAAATTAACTTAAAAACTCATTTTCTGGAAATCAGTTTCATTAATCTTGAAAGTACCGAAACCTTACTAATCAGAAAAGACCTCTTTTGGTCTACCATGAATCCATGTTGATGTAGTATTGCTTCGTGTAAACTCATTAAATAAGTGGATGACCTTTATAATTTCTGGAAGAAAAAAACTCCCTGTTTCCACTACACCAACCGTAAGTAGCAGTGTTTTAATGACTCAGTATAATTTAGAACAAAGAATTCTAAAGTCACACCAAAGATAAGCTTGAATTTGACCCAAGTCAGAGCCCCCAAAAATAAGTTGTCTTGAGTCGGTCCAAAATTAAAGTGCTGTGAATTTGTACCTAAAAATAAAAAAGCCTTTCAGTCCTCATTCCTGCATTAAGTAACGGGGTTTGTAGTCAATATTTGCAGACTTTACAAAAGCCAAGATTTGGAACAATAAGAGAGCCACCTGAGATATCAAAATCTAACCTTAAATCTCCTTGCTCGCACATTTTCTGGCTTTGTGGACACCGTGCTATTCTTCTTCTCTCGACTTTCATTCCTAGAATTCCGGAAAAATTCGACTTTGTCCCAACTAACCTCGTAATCAGCCTTCAATCGTGATCCTTCCTGATCATTCACAGCAACTCACAAATCATAACCAAAACATCACTTATCAGGTTTTAACATGTTAAACCTCTCAATTTCTGTCATCACTGCTGACAAACAATTTAATCCTATTTCCTTTGATCATAGAATCATCTTACATATATATATATAAGTACTTATTTACTACTAAATTTTACCTCAAGTTGTGAAATTTTACTATAACACATCAGACACCATGGTTGTGCATGATTTCATAATAAAGTGAAGAAAAACAACTCAGATCCTAAACCGATACCTTTTGCATAGACCGACCACACAGAACTCTCATTGCATCATGGCAGTCTTTATATTTGTCAAACTGCACCACAATCTTGCAGTAAAGGCCTGAAACTAGGTCTCCACTGTCTTCATTTTCGTCCTTACCAAATTCATTATCCTCAGTAACATTAAGATTCCTATTCAAGAAGATCATGTAAGCACAATCACATAACTGAAAGTAGTGCAATTGCAACAATTTGATAAAATGTGTTTTTGGTCCCTAACTATTTAGTTGACCAAAACTGAATTTAGTTCTTACACTTTTAAAATGCTGATCTTGTCTTCCGTGTGATAGATTTTGTCCCTTGTCAAGTCAAAATGTAGTACACGATAAAGGACAAAACCCACCACATTAAAGAAACATGGAGAACAAAACCACTGATTTTAAAATGTATAAACTAAAATCAATTTTGATCAAATAGATCAAAACAGACATTTTACTCCCAAGTTGGCTGCACAAGAATAAACCACCAATTTCAGTCAATCAAATTTTATCCCCTCTCCTAATAGCTTCTCAAGTAATAAAACTGTTGATTTTGATAAACTAGTCCGAAATCATAGAAAAAAAATTATATAAATTTTTCCAGAATCTAAAATCATCTTATTTGCAAGTCAACTTTTGTTAGAAATCATGTTATCATTATTCTGAACTTAATTATCACACATTCCTATCATCATCTATCTGCTTAGTGAGTATTGTGGGTTTTGATATATGAAGTTTAAAGCATATTTGAATATGAAGGAGGTTAATTAATTCACTTTTTATAGCATGTACACTTTATTATGTACAAAGAAAACTTTTACAAATGCAAATTAAATCTTAATTTGAGGAGTAACTTATTTAATTTTCTTCTGCTATGTGTTTTTAGAAAACTTTACTTAACCATACACTATATCATACACAGACTAATTTTCTTATTTTATTTTCTAACAAGAGGTTCCAAAGAAAAAAAAAATCAAAAATATCTTGAATAAATAATCCCTCAAGTATCGAATTCCCTTAAATTGATTTTTTTTACGACACCAATGATTAAAACTGTGAAGAACATAGTATTCCCAACATTGTGATGCAAAATATTTTTGAGAACTACTTAACATGATTGCTAACACATAGAAGATTACTCATACACAGTTTTAGCGTAATAATTTGAAGATGAAATTGATGGTTCATTCTGAACAAAATATATGAGTGAGATGAAAAGCGATCCAAAATCATTGAGCAAAATTACATAACTAACGGACCTGATTTTGCCGAATGTAGAAAAGATGGTGTGAGTAACAAGCATGGAGGGTTTAGACGAAACCCTGGGTTCAGCGAACCACCGCGACGGCACGCCTCTCAGAACAACTGTATCAGGCTCTCGCCGACTTCGAGACGAGGAATGCTCCTCCCAATCCTTCTTCATTCTGTCAAAATCGTCGGAAACGGGAAGAGTAACGGCGAGTTTGAACTTGACGCCTTCGAGGTTGAGTTCGACCCCGTTCAGATTCTCCACGAGGCGGTTGCGCCACTCGAGGAAGCGGGTCTCCGTAGGTAAGGAGGAGAGGTCCCACACGCGGAGCGTTCCGGCGGCGACGGGGTCGTCGCGCTTGCGCTTCTTGAGGTTCTTGTGGCGCGTGAGGTGGAGGTCCTCCTCGGGGAGAGTGAGGGAGAGAGAGGTGGTGTGGAGGAACTCGATGAGGGCGCGTTTGGTTTTCCATTCGTCGATGGGGTGGGAGAGCGTGAGGGGCGTGGAAGGGTATATGACGAGGTTGAGCTTCACGCGCGGGACCAGTCGGAGACCGTTCTCGATCTCCAACGTCTTCAACCCTTCTTCTTCTTCTTCTTTCCTCTTCTCTTCACTCATTCTCCTTTCTCGCTATTCACAGTGAAACGCTGTCGTTTTCTTCTATCTTACCAAGGTCAACAATTTCTACTTCTCATCTTGGCCATTGATTTCCTTTAATTACTTATGCTCCCTTTGATCAGCTGCAAAGTTGTTTTTCTTTTCAATTATGTAGTTCTAAAACTTGATTAGTGGGCTAAAATCCTTTTTTTTCTATAATTTTTATAAAATATAAAATTATATTCCTAAATTTTATTTCGTTTAATTTAGTCTTCTAATCTCTATAAATAATTCAACCACATCATTTTCATTACATTTTCCTTAGATTTTCGTTATCAAATCATTTCATTAGAAAATAAAACTAATTTTATTATTTAGGCTATATAAACTTTAAAGAAAATCTAACATTAATAAAAAAAAGTTAAATACGTTTTTAGTTCTTAAACTAATAAATTTGCTTTTATCTCTTTCAAAAGATATATTTTAGTCTTTCTATTTTAAAAACATGTTAAATAGTTTAGACACCTAAAACATATTTAATCCTAATAAAAGTGACATCAATATAATTAAATTATTTACTTAAAAGTAACATATAAATTACGTTAATATTACCTCATGTTAAACATTTTTAACGGTTATAATAGTGACATTTTAATAATTGTTTAAATCAAGAAATTCAAGCTATTATCAATGCTCACTCAATAATTAAAAGGCAATTACATTCCTCCCAAAATTCAAATAATATTTACAATAAATGAAAGACAGAAAAACTTGAAACAGGAAGTTTTTTTCTATTTTAGTTAATATATATACTACTACTCTGTTATTCCAATAAAATAATAATAATTGTTCTTTATTAACTTAATTGTCATTTATTTTATTGTTTTTTTTAATTTATAAGTTTCATTTCCTCTTTCCCAAAAATTTTTAACTATATATAAATTTAAAGAGTAATACCATTTGATCCCCACTTTAGCAACTGATATCATTAGATTTAAACTACATATCATTATCATATTTAATATTTAAGTTAAACTATTATGGTATCTTTTATTGTTATAAGATAGTCCATGGAATTTCATTTTAGGTTGAAAATCTCAAGTGAATTCAATTGTTTTTATGCTTATTAATTTAATTTTTATTGTGAAACATTTGATGTACTAAAATCATTTTCATTTGTAGTGTATTAACAATATTAAAAATGTCACTAGTTAGTGTTTTTTTTTATATTTTTAATTATTATTTTTTCAAAAATAAAATTTTGTAATATATTAAGTTAAATTTTTTATTACTTAGTCTCAATTTGATTTTTATATTTTTATTTTTCTTAATTTAATTCTAATTTTTATTAAATTAAATAATTTAATTACTTTTCAAATTTTGAAACAAAATTTAATTTTTATATAAATATTATACAAATATTTTTATTAAAAATATTTTATTAAATATTCTTAATAAAATTAAGTTTATTTATATTTTATCTTAAATTTTTATTTAAAATTATTAATAGAAAGTGATACTTATTAAAAATTCAAAATTTAATTTTAACTAACACATATATTAAAAACTTTTTGTTTTTATTACTTTTCATAAATCAAAATTAACAACCTTTTCAATTCTTTTAACTAATTGTATATTTTTAAAAGCTGTAAAATTCAAAATTTTATATAAATTGTCTAATTGGATTTAAAAATAAACGGTTTTACGAATTCAATATAAAATATTAACTAATTTCAAAAAATTTAAAACAAAAATAATTAAAATTTAAAAATAATTTTAAATAAAGTTTAATATAAAATATAAATATAAAGTCATTAATAAAGTACTAACTAAAAGGATTTAATTGAATCAAAATTTTCAAAACAAAAACTAAACTAAAACACTAAAAAAAATGACTGATTTAAGATTTTTCAAAAAAAAATTATAACCTATGACATGATGTAATCTTTTATTTTAGTACAACCATATTTACATAAAATTAATCAATTATAAAAATAATTATATCATTTATCAATACCAATTGTCGAAAATGATTTTAAGAATAATAAAATTAATTGAGAAGAAGATCGGAAGCATGTCTATTGTAAGAACCTGAAAATGAATTAGAAAGTTAATATGGTATTAAGTTAATGAAACCATAAATTCACATTTCACACACATCCTGGTTCATTAACCCAACTTCATTCTCTATCTAAAACTCAGTTATTCTTTTTTCTTTGCCTTCTCTCTACCACACCTCTGTCTTCTCTCTTCAATCTCTTCTCACTGAGCCATTGGATTGTTGATCAGGTGGTGTTCGAGCGTTTCCATTGTAGAGGGCTCAGTTTTGAATCGATCACTTTCTTCCTTCTCACTGGTAAGTAGTTCTTCCTTTCTCCTCCGTTGCCTTGGAACCTAGGGCATGCAACTCTACTGGTTGCATGTAGCTAGAAACACTTTTCTTCAAACCTCTGTCAAATTCTAGCTTTAAGAGTTGTTTTCTACCATCAATGTGGTGGTTTGTAGGGTTTGGTTGGGCCCTTGCTGTGTGAGGTACTGTAGAGAAGCGTTCTTATGAGCTGGGCAGTTCAACCCTGAGGTAAGGGGAGCTAGAATACGTTTTTAAATTGGTTGTATGTGGTGTATGTATATGGATTTTTGTGCTATTATGTTGTTGATGTTGTGCTTTGATTTGAGAAGATTTATTTGCATGTGCTCTGTATTTGTATGATGTGCACTGGGAGTGTGATGATTTTAAACTGTCTGGATGTATTCCATTGGTTGTAATTCCTAGTTGCAGTGTTTTTGGGGGGTGAAGAACTTTGTTGTAACCATGAATAGGTAGAAACTTGGTGGTTTCTGTGGGTTTTAAGGTATCTTGAGAGGAAGTGAGGTAGTGATTCTGAGTATATGAGGTCTAGAGTGTTTGAGGAGGGTTAGGATGGTTTAGATAGGTCCAATGTGGTTTGCTAGGAACATAAAACTGGGCTAGAACATGTTAAAAATGGTATAATTGGATTTGAGCCCCTAAGTTGAGGAAATTAGTGTTTTAGGAAGGAATTTGGGTCTTAATTACTTAATAATCACTGTAGCAACGTTTATAATCATCTAGATAAGTTTTAAATAATTATATAAAACCAACGAATTAGAGGTGTTAGAAGTTGGGGGAAATACTAAAAAATGGTAAAAAAGGTGTGTGAATTGCATATTTCCTCCAGAATTGCGTTCTGTCAGATTATGCAAACCTCGCTAAGCGAATGTTTCGCATAACGAATCCTCACAGAGAGGTGCTCTCTGTTTGAAATCAATTCGCACAGCGAGTTGGTGCTTGTGCGAATGGCTAGAGATGGTTGCTCTCTGTTTGGTGATTCGCATAACGAATCTGGGTGCTATGCGACTGATGGTTGCCTGGGAAAATGCTAGCTTAATTTGAATAGCGAATTTGGGGCTATGCGAGGGTTTAGGGTCTGATAATGTGTATCAGAATTTTCAGTTTAGCATAGCGCACAGGCTTGGTGCGCTGAGCGATGTGAGTGAGTAAAACCCACTGTTTTTGTTATTCGCACCACGAGTTCGGTGCGCTGAGCGACTTGCCCAGAACCTGTTTTTATTCTTTTTATTCTTGTTTTATGATAACCTTGAGAACTAATGTTTTGATTATTAGAATTATGCAAAAGTATCTATGATTTTGTATGATCAGTGAGGTTATATGTTTGATTCAATGTGATAATATTATGGTATTCTGTTGTTCATGTCTTGAGTTAAGTTTCAAAGTGACAATATGGTTGATGGACCTAATTCCATGGATCTCAAAGGGATGTCACATGGTGGTGCCCTATTTATGACATAATTCCATAGATCTCAAAGGGAGGTTACATGGTGGCGTCCTATGTTATTGGACGTAATTCCATGATCTTCAAGGAGAAGATTCATGGTGTGCCCCTTAGTGTTTATAATAATTTGCATGGTAGCTCAATCTTGGGGTTTTCCTGACGCTCCTATGGTCTTTCATTCTCAAGTAGAGAGGATTGAACCATGTGGTGAGGAGTTAGTAGGAGGTCTTAGTCTTAGGGTGCTCCTAGTATGCCTCAAGGCCCGGAACAGGCTAACCTCGTGAGTGTGGTAGGATGGGGAACCCAAGTTTCATAAGTAAGCCACCACGAGTGATAACCCGTCATAAGCTCGGCAATCATTCTAAGTCCGGACAAGTCAAGTCTAGTAATATGACAATGCTAGGTTGTATGATTTAGCTTGCTTTGATTGAGGCATCTGATATTTGTTTACTACTGTTATATTGTATGTTTTCTTGTATAACTAGCTCACCCTTGCTTCTGTGTTTGTGTTTTGTTTGGGTATGTTTTTCTTTTGCAATGATCATCCACTTGGATGTGAACAGAGATGGATAAGGTGCCCGAGCAAGTTTGGAGGAAGATGATAGTACTGCTTAGTGTAATTAGAATGTTTATCTACTTTCTCATATTTTGAAATACTTTTTGTACTTAAAGATTAAATTTATAGCCATTTTAGATGACTATAAGTTGAACACTGTACTTTTCAGGTTTTAACTGCTTTATTATATTATATCTGATGACATCTTTATTATATATGCATGTTATATATTTTAAGGGATGTCATTATGGTGAAGTTTACAAATGCAAGATCATCAGGTCATAATAAATTTAAGAAAAATGATTCTTACTTTATGTTATGATGTATTTAGAAAAGCACTGTTGTAATAAAATAACAAAAGAGCATGAGCATTTTGAAATTAAATACAACTTTACACCAAATAATTACAAATAACAATAAAAACTGAAAACAAAACAGAAAAATAAATAAAAGATAAGTGACCTTAAATTTCAAACAATGAAACAATATAAAAAAGTTTGTATTTTGCCGGAATTTAAATTAGATTGAAATTGTAAGAGAAGTTGAAGGAGAGAGAAAAAAGAAGAGAGAGAGAGAGAACATGGGTCTCTGCTTTGGTTGCTTCGGCGCAGACAAGCGCATGAGCAAGGAAGAAGAGAGGTTGGCCTCTGAAGAAGCGCGTGCTAAAGCTGCTGAAGCGGCACAGAAAAGGTTTTACCTTTTTCCATTTCTCAACATCCCTCTTTCTTTAACTCTCTTTCTTCTATATTCTCTAATCTTTTAACTTAACCCTTCAATTTCTGGAAAAGGAAAAAGGGTTTTTATTTGTATGTTAGACCCTTAATCATTGTACTTTTCTTGATTAAATATGTATCTGCTTTTGAATTCGCTTTTGCTTTATACCTTGCTGATCACACTTTTTGGTGTTTTATTTTATTCTTCATATCATTATGTAAAACCTCATTTTGAAATATATAAAGAAAAGGGGATTTTGGTAAGAAAATTCTAGGGATGTACTATCGTCATCCTCCTTTCAATATTTCAAGATCACAGAATTCGTGGATCAAGCGCCCTGTTTTTAATATTAGCTTCTATATGAATCGTAATTTTTCCAATAATTGACTTATAATGGCAAAGAGTAATTCTATAGAGTGTTTTAAGATGTGTTATTAGCACTTCTGTTGTGTGTATAGGACTGTGTCATTAATAATTGTGTTTATATAGCTCACTGCTTCTTCTTATCCTTGAAATGCATACATGATATGTAATGCATGTCCATACACTAAAGGCATTATACCAATATCACAATTGTCTGGGAACATACAATGCAATGTCTTCTCTGGGGATTGTTTATTCGGGACACTGTTAGGTACTACTACGTCACATTCTAAAATATTTGTACAAGTCAATAGAAAATGGGTGCAAGGCTTACTGCAGTTAACAAATATATAATGAAATATAGTCTACTTTTAGAGGTCGGGTGAAGCATGATGAAACAACAATAGACATTATAATGTTGTTATAACTGCAGACCAATTTGTGCGTGTTAATTGGAATTGCAGACAAGAGCAATTTGAGAAATCTGCAGCAGGACGAGCTGCACGTGCACAGCAACAGGCAATGGCAAAGCAATCTGCAAACTCCAACAAAGGCGAACCAGTTCTAAAGGTTTGGAGATTCGACACGCGTTATTTCTTGAGAACTATTATATTAGGGATTTGATACTGCCATTAATCTCATACGTGTTTACTATGAATCGGATATTTTCGTTGCTCTTATTCTGAGTTTGTTGAATAATTTTGGTATTTCCCTTAAAAATGTCATTTCCCTGTAATTACTGCTTTTCTTGCCTGTGCTTTTTGAACTAACAACCTTGACATAATAAGTTGTACCTACCATTTACTACTATATCTCAATGTTTTGGTTCTTTTCCATTGGTGACTGCAGTGGCAAAGCTGGGTTGAGGTTAGGCACTCTGTGGAATCACTTTTTATTAGGTGGTAGGTGACTAATCCATCTGATGAATTCTTCTTTGTCCATTTTAAGTTGGATTATGAAAACTATTTAGTTTGAGTTCCAATAAAATATCGCAGATTTATTTGAAGATACCTACCAATTAACCACATATTACTCTATATAAAAAATCATAGAAACGTAAACAATAAAACTGAGTTTAGGCATATTTTGGATTAAATCAATTTGGGAAAAAGGTGGGGTATAGCCTATTGTGAACCGACGAAACTGTTTTTAGTCTCATTTCTTGGCTGTAAACAATATTTGCATAAACAGAAGTTTAAAGTCTATGTACTGCAGCTCACTTCAATAAAATATTAATTGGAATATTTTTTTTTTCTGGAACATTCTGTTCAAGCATTCCATATGTAGTAATATAGCAGTATCTGTAAAGGGCTACTCAACTACACCACTGACCACTTCATCAAAATATATAGTGACAGAACATGTATTATTTTTGTATGGGGTAATTTGGAAAGTATTTTGAAGGACCAAAAATTTAAAATGCAAGGGGGAGGGTAGCAAATGAGTTGGTTACTGATTTAGATCTTCTCAGTAAATACATTCCAGTTTTACTGGAGTAAACATATCATATAGAGATCTGCCACTGAGCCACTTGTATTTTTTGCACCATATATTGTTAAAGTAGAGACCAATATCAAGTACCGTTTTACTTCTCATACTGCAAATGTCTCTTCATGGATGCGATAATTGTCTCATTAGTTTTCGTTTCTTGTGTAACAGTATTGATGACAGATCCAATCAAAATTCTACCCGCAGCATGTTTCCCTTGTTTGGAAGATGTAAAGATATTTACAGCAATAATTTTATCTTAAGTGTAATTTGTTGTTTTCCAGACCAAGAAAAATAGTGAGTGTAAATTTGTAAAGAAATCGTGGTAGCTGGAAAAGTTGAGATGGCTGTTTGTTTTTCTTCCCTTGCATGAAATTCAGCAACTCCATTTACTTTCTATAAGCTTTAAGCATCATATAACGAATTAGAGAAGTGTGACCCTTCAAATATTATTTCCATTATTCATTTTTCGCTAAGATTATCAGTAGAACAAATATATTTCATTCTACTCTACTATCCATCTTTGGTTACAATTACTATTAACAAGCTAAGTGTATTATTTTATACGAGTTAGGAGAAAAAAAGTTGAATACTTGTCAGTTAACTGAGTGTTTTTGAAAAGTAAGCAATTATTTCTGAGATTTTATTCTTTTAAGTCAAGCACTAAGTGTTTCCAACATAACAAAGTAATATCATATAAAATCATAGCAGAGAAATGTTACTTAATCCAATCAATTCTTATCATATAAACTATAAATAGCGAGTATTAATTTTCTAAAGTGAGGAATGTATTATACAAATGAGAGAATAAAGAGTTATAACTATCAACTAAAACTTAAGAAGTCAGTCAGCAGCAAAACTATACGTGTATGACTTCACACGCTGGGATTACCCTCGCCTCAAACATTTATTGTACATTCCGCTCGAAATTATGTTATAAATTCTTTACCACATGGGTCCTTCAACTCATGTCAAATGTGAAGGACATTGCTTTGGAGCATAACGAAATAAATATATAAATAAGCTATGTATAGCTATTGGTTTTTTCAAAAATATTAACCGAGGGTATATTTCTCTTCCACTAGTTGCTGCTCATGACTCTTGTATATCGCTCTTGTTGAGCTCACTTTTTTCTCAACCACAAAAAGTTTACAATTCTTATTTCAAGGTGTCAGTCACTCAAATTCTTGCACTGGAGCTGAAAGCTTCAGCTCATATGCGGCTTGAAAGCAATCTGCTGCTTGTTGTAATGAACCTTCCATTTTTGAAACTAGTCCAAGGTTAAACCATGCTTCATGGTTTGTAGGATCTAATCTCAAAGCATTCATTAAAAAGCTTCTTGTGATTGGGAGTGATTGCATGCCAAGTTTAAGCATTAATTTTGCAGCTGAAATGATGCTGGGAATGTAATCCGGTTCTATTGACAATGAGACTGAGAAGGAAGCTAAGGCCTCCTTATGCAATGTCCGAGATTCAAACAACAACCCTGTCATTGTCACATGCAATTAATTTCAGATTGGTAAATACAAAATGTAGAAACATACTGCAGTTCAACAATGAAACTTGTTCCATACCAGTAATATGCCAACTTCTTGGAGAAAAAAATTCTATCAACTGAGCCATGTCAACACAAGCTTTTGCATCTAGAAAGGAGCAAAGATCTACATAAATGGTGGCCAAATCTTGCCAGACTTCCATTTCCAACTTCTGTTGTTTTAATGCCTGCAAAGGAGAGATTATTCTCAAGGATTCAGGAGATTACTTAAATATCTACACTAACAATAATCAAAACTGTCCCTAGTCATAAATAAAATTTCACTATAAGCAATGGATGTAAATAGATAGGGAACTACTGGTTAATGCTTTTAACTTAATTAAGTAGTCTCAATATAAAATCTTATACTGAGCAACTTCAAACCAGACAAGAGCACTTCTTTAGTCAGTTTTAGTACAAGCCAAACAATGGATGTTCCCTTAAACAGTACTACACACCTCATGCCTGAATGCCTTAGCCTGAAGCCAATGCTCCTTTTGTGATTCAATTACTGCTAGCAAGATTCTGTAGGTCTCTACTGCTTTCTTGGGTTGCTGCTGTGTAATTTGAAGAATAGCTTTCAGTCTCAGTAGTTCTAACTGGTCTATGCTACCAGCCTCATCTAAAGCAAAATCAACTATAGTTTCTGCATCCTTAAACCTCTGTTCCGCTGATACTATGAGTGCTAACAACTGCCAACCTCTTTTTGAGCTGCCAGCCATCATGTCAGAGTATATCATTAAATTGTCATATGCTGTATTTAAATTTCTTTGCATTGCATTTTCCAATCCAAGGCTGAGTATCACTTCTGGATCATTATTTCCATTTAGAGCGACAGCATCATTTAGAAAGTACAAAGACTCTCTTTGAAATATAATTCTTTCAGAATCTAGTACAGATACTCTGGCAGAAGCCCCTTGGCAAGTGCCCATAAATTTTAGGCCCTCGCCCAGAAAATGCTCATTTTGATGCTTGGCTAGATCAATAACTTCCTGTGAAAATTTGATGCCTTCATGAGCATGGTTTGGACATAAAGAACACAGCTTTGCAGCAAACAAAAATGAAGGAAAATAGGGTCTATGCTTGGCTTCAGAACTACCACAAGCTTTCCTCAAAAGGTTCAAGGCCACTTCATTCTGTCCTGCTGCACTGTAACAAAGAGCAAGAAAATGCCACCTCTCTGCCCGATCATAAACCCCCGGAAGGATCTTCTCTACGTTATCTGCCAATGATTCAAACATTCCAGTAACTGAAAGAGAAAATGTAAGATGATCCATTATTTCAGGGTCCCAGTCTATTTCCTGAAGTGCCATCTTTCCAGAGAGTATTAACAGCAAAAGTATGGCTTCTTCAGTACCACTCATAGGTGTTGTTAAACCATTCACTTGCAGCTGAGAGGGTATGTTTGCTTCAGCACCACCATAGAGTAGTGTGGTAGCCAAATCTTTTTGAACCCTGGCCAATCTCCACGGCTCCAAATTCCATGGCTTGATTAGAGCCCTCCGGTAAGCAGTGACAGCTTCGTCTAGAAAACCAGATTTGATCCATAGATTTGGAAGCAACTCCAATGCTATGTGGAACATTTCTTGCAACTTACAATCTTCACCGATACCCTCAGGCATTCCATTTGGAAGAGCAGATTCTACTGTATCCACAATAATTCTGCACTCTTTCGCAGCCTCTGGTAAATAAGAAAGCAGAAGTAATTAGTGTATTGGATTTATGATGTTGCATTTATGATGCATGGATGATAATATGGGCAATTATTCACGATTCTCTGACATATAAGAGCCAAACTTTGAATCAAACAAAAGAAAAGAATCTGCAAGACATCTGAAAGAGATATGAAGGTGGTGATACCGGTGTATCTTCCAAGTTCTTCTAAGGATTTGGATTTAAGCAAAATTGCCTCTAGAAGCAGGCTTACTGAATGCATTGACATTACATTAGGAAGCACATTATCCACCTTTGACCGTGGTTTTCTTTGCTTGGTTCTTTCAGCTATTGCCTTGATCATCCTTGGGGTCAAAACCCTTATGTCTATACCTTCAAAAACTTGAAGGGCAGCATCAAAGTTCCCTCTTTGGTATTCTAGCCTCCCCAGCAAAGCCCGAGCTTCCTTAAATTCACCAAAAAGGAGAAAATTAAAATAAAAAAGTAGTCTTATCTTGGCAGAATAATTTCACAAAGGAAAAAACACTAATTCATACCTCATAGTTTAATGAGAGTGTTTCTTTTAGAGTAGATTCAGCTTCTTCAACTTGCGTCTCATCAAATTTGGATTCCCAATCCCCAGTCCTTGAAGAAAGACCACTTGCAGAGAAATCCCTTGTTGCCAAGGACTCAGGTGACTGTGGTGCCTCTTCAAACTTGAATTGCTCCCCCGAACAAGCACACAACATCTTCCAAAAAGTGTGTATTTCAAAGTGAACCCAACACAAATCACTTCTGAGTGCACACTTTCACAGGGGCTCAACACCTTCAACAAACACGGTTCTGTTAAAATTCAACAACGGATTACAATTTAAATTTATTAACACAGTTGAAATGGTTGGAGTGAACTATCGTTACTATTGAGACTGCTTATTCCTGTAGAGCTAAAACAGCAATGGTCTTAACTTTAATTAGCAAAATGAAGAATGCCACACAGTAGTTTTTTTACCTTGAATTTAGAATTTCACCACTAGTGTCATGAAATGCAAAAACATAATGCTAAGAATGACACGTTCATGCAACTGAAAACAAACCACGTAACTTGTGGGAACACAAAAAAGATAGAGAGAGAGATGATGACAGATTTTTCAAATTCAAAGGCAATGATGGATGTCATAAGAAAGAGAAAAGGAGGAAAAGTTTTCTAGATGAACACGGGTGGACATGTGAGAGCTGAGGAAAGAGAGAGAAACAACAATAGTAAGAACAGTGCCTAGGACTTACCAACCATAGCTCAGATTCCAAAAACCTGAACCTTATCAGTGTTTGACGCCATGAAAGCTACCCTTCTGTCGAACTTTCTGTTTCTATGTTTGGATTATCTGAAACTGGTCCTAATTGGTTAATCAGACTCACCCCTTTGAAAAATTCAAAACCTTTTGGCCTAAGTAAAGAACAAGTCACTCTTGGAGTGTTGAGAATGTTTGGTAATAGGAGCATTCAAACGTTGTTGCTAGATTGATTGAGTTGGTTTGAAGTTTCAACAATGTTGGTGTATGTGTTTACACTCCACACCACCTTGATGGAGATAGTAGCAGAAGTAGTAGCTTAAGGGTTGGAGCAAGAATTAACGGAAGAAAGTGAAATGAAAGGAAAAGCAAAGGGTGTTGTCGTGGGTTGCCACCATCGACATGTCCCCATACATAGGTGTCGACATAAATGTTGTTTACTTTCCAACCTTTTTGTCAGTCACTGTATCCTAAACACATATAATAATTTTAATTTGTTCCCTCCATATAAGAGATCAACATAAAAATATATATATCATATTAAGAATGTGTTGAATGTATAAGTATTAAATTAAGAATATACAGGAGTGCTGAAATCATAACATTTTATACATAAAGAGACCAATTTAATAAGATTTTATATATAAATGATGAATAGAAAATTTGCTACACATAACCATTAATGTAATGGTAGACAACAAGAAATGGTTTAATGTAATGGTAGACAACAAGAAATGGTTTAAGCTTTTACATGAATATGTAAATAAGAGGGATAATTATCCTAATTTATTTTTTTATTGTCGTTCTTTTAATTTGATAAAAGTTCTTTTTTACAACGATTAGATTAAGAAAAAATATATAGTGATGAGATGAGGATGGATGAAGAATACATAAATAGTTAAACTAAATATTGAATTAAGAGTTTG